TTCGTACCCGATACGGTCACTATGAGTTTGTCGTGATGCCGTTCGGCTTTACCAATGCGCCAGCGGTATTCATGGATCTAATGAGCCGTGTCTTCCCCCCATTCTTGGACCAGTTTGTCATCGTCTTCATAGATGACATTTTGGTCTACTCGAGGAGCACAACCCAGCACGAAGAGCATTTGAGGATCGTGTTAGAGACTCTTAGATGGGAGAGACTGTACGACAAGTTCTCGAAGTGCGAGCTTTGGCTCGATCGAGTGGCATTCCTCGGTCACATTGTTACGGTCGAGGGCATTGAGGTCGATCCCTGGAAGATCGAGGCAGTGAGGAACTGGTCAGCACCGAGGTCTGTTACCGAGATACGGAGTTTTCTCGGGTTAGCAGGCTACTAAAGGAGGTCCATTGAGGGGTTTTTGAAGATAGCCCTACCCTTGACACGCTTGACGAGGAAAGGGACTATGTTCGATTGGAGTAGCCGTTGTGAGTCGAGCTTTCAGGAGCTCAAGAGGAGGTTGACTACGGCACCCGTGCTGACTATTCGGGACCTTACATGGAGTTTCACTATCTATAGTGATGCTTCGAAGCAGGGACTTGGGTGCGTGCTGATGCAGGAGGGCAAGGTTGTCGCTTACGCTTCGCGACAGCTGAAGCCCCACGAGGAGAACTACCCGACTCATGACATTGAGTTGGCGGCCGTTGTCCACGCACTCAAGATTTGGAGGCACTATTTGTATGGTGGTCGGTGCGAGATCTACACCGATCACAAGAGTCTGCAGTACATCTTCACGCAGAAGGAGCTCAACATGCGCCAGAGGCGATGGTAAGAGCTAGTGAAGGATTATGATTGCACCATCCAGTATCATCCGGGAAGGCGAACGTGGTAGTTGATGCCCTTAGCCGAAAGGCGAGGGGTGAGTTGACTTGCATGATCACCCAGCAGAGTCAGCTCCTTCGAAAGTTCGCTCGGATGCAGTTAGACGTCATCGAGCCACTTTCTACGATGCCTGTCGTAGGAGGTGTTCGGTCGATGAGAGTGTGGCCCATGCTCCGAGATCGAGTTCAGAGAGATCAGTCTGTTGATAGTTCGTCCGTTCCATGAGGGCGAAGGTTGTTGTCGAGGGCGTAGAGGGGTTTTACCGAGGCGCGGATGGTGCCTTGGAGTACAAGGGAATGCTCGTTGTGCCGAATGTCGAGGCCCTGAGGAAGGAGATCTTGACCGAGGCTCACAGTGCACCCTATTTGGCGCACCCCGGCAACACCAAGATGTACCACGACCTGAAAGGGTCGTTTTGGTGGAGGGGCATGAAGAGAGATGTTGCTGAGTTTGTGAAGCAGTGCTTGGTTTGCCAGCAGGTGAAAGCCGAGCACAAGTTTCCACCGGGTTTTGTGCAGCCCTTGGAGATCCCACTGTGGAAGTGGGAAGAGCTTACCATGGATTTCGTTACGGGACTACCCAAATCGAGGGATCAGCATGATGCGGTGACGATGTCCATGGACCGACTGACGAAGACGACTCGTTTCTTGCCCGTACGGATGACGATGTCCATGGACCAGCTCGCGACGATCTATATCCGCGGGGTAGTGCGACTTCATGGAGTCGCCAAGGTCATAGTGTCAGATCAAGACCCTCGTTTTACCAGTCAGTTCTGGAAGAGCCTCAGCGAGGCCGTGGGGACACAGTTGAGGTTCAGCATCGCTTTCCACCCGCAGACCGACGAGCAGTCGGAGCGGACCATCCAGACACTCGAGGACATGCTTCGAGCATGTGTTCTGGGCCGTGGTAGTTCATGGGAGGAGTTGTTGCAGTTGATTGAGTTCGCGTACAACAACAGCTATCAAGCGTCGATCAGGATGGCACCGTACGAGGCGTTGTACGGTCGCAAGTGCCGATCACCCCTTTATTGGGATGAGGTCGGCGAATGGCAGGTTCTCAGTCCGAAGCTGATCGAGGACACGGTGGAGAAGGTCGCCTTGATCTGTGAGCGGATGAAGGTGGCACAGGATCGACAGAAGCGTTACGCTATCCAGCGTAGACGAGATATCCAGTTCGAGAAGGGAGATAAGGCATTCCTGAAGATCACGCCTTTGAGAGGCGTGGTTCGCTTCGGGAAGAGGGGGAAGCTGCAGCCCCGTTTCTTAGGCCCATTTGAGATCCTCGAGCGAGTGGGTGAGGCCGCATACCGGTTGGCGTTGCCACCCGAGCTTTCGGGTGTGCACAACGTCTTCCACGTTACGATGCTGAAGGATTACGTGTATGACCCAGCACACGTGTTGAGTTACAGTGAGCTTGACATCGGGCAGGACCTGACGTACGAGGTGCAGTCGATTGCTATTCTGGACCGAAAGGTTCAACAGTTGAGGAGCAGAGATGTAGCGCTCGTTCGAGTCCAGTGGACTCGCCACGGCGAGGCCGAGGCCACATGGGAGCGAGAGGAGGAGATTCGAGCGAGATGTATCGTATTATGTATTTTCAGTTTCTAGTTTTAGTCGAGTTGGCCTTATGTTTAGTTTTGTCATTTCCGGGGACGGAAATGTTTTAAGGAGGATAGATTGTAACACCCCAGACTAAAATTGTATTAGTAGCTCGACTTATTTATCGAAATTAGTAATATTTTAATTATGTAGAGAATTATTAATATTAATTGCATAATTTATTTATTTTAAAGCCCAAGTAGTATTTTAAAAATCGAGCCTAGTAGCAATTATATATCTGAGACCAAGTCGTTAAAAATCGAGCCCAATCTATTAGGCCCGATACTAAGCCTAATAAGAGCAAAACCCTAAGCTCCCCACCCTCCTATAAATATCATGTCTCCTTGTCCCTCAACAATCCAACACAAAACCCTAGCCCCCCAAGAGCACTATTCATTGTCTTCCACCTCCATTTTCAAAAATCTAGTCCAAAAATCCACACCATTTTTCAATATTTAGCATTTAATCCCCAAGATCCACCATGGCTTGACCAATTATCCGGCGACCAGCTCCGGCGTCAAGCTTTCCGCCGTCGTTGTCATCTTCCCCGAGCTCATCCCGTCACCACCATCTCCGGCGACAGCAAGCTCGCGACCAGATCCTCACCTCGGGCCTGCGACCCGCTCAGCCCGCAGCTCGAGCCAAACACAGCCCGCATCTCAAGACCCGACCAAACCCGCAGCTCTCCAGCCCCATTTTTCCGGCGAGCTAGAGAACACGTCCAGGCAAGCCGTACACGTCGTCATCTTCCCCAGCTCGCGTCTTCACGGCGAGGCCCAGCTCCGGCGACCATTCCGCCTCCGTGCAGATCCACGACGAGTTTACCATCGGCCTTAGCTCGCACCAGCGCCCTCCTCAGCTCAGACCCAACAAGCCACCAGCATCCCAGCACCCTCCTTAGCTCAGACCCGAACCAGCAGCTCCACCACACCACAGCGGGTCACCACCTCCGAGCCCGCACCGAACCAGCTTCAAAACCGAGCCCAGCACCATTTCTGACCCACCAGCTCCTCAAATCCACCTCAAACCTGGGTCCAGCAGTCCAGATCCGTGAGAACTGACCCGATTTGCTGCCACAACCCCAAAAATCCGGTCTAAGCAACCCCTAGTTGGACCGGTCCGACCCGACCGGATTCTTGCTCCATTTTTCTTCCATTTCCCTAGCCGATCCGCTCTTTGTTCGAGCATTTGAAGTATATAGGCTAAAGCTTGAAATATATGGAATAAATTGATGATAAATACGAGATAAAATTAATGAGATGTTGATTTGAGTTGATCGGTACATACGAGCTTAAAGCGAATAAATTGATATTTTTCGATAAACGCGTTAAAATGTCGAAATAAATATGATAAATTTGTATAGCTGACTTGAGGCCTAGTGTAACGCCCCGACTTTCTAATACATCAGAGTACGCGATTTTTCGCAAATTTTCTGTATAAATAATTAATTAAATAAACTTCTTAATTTGCGAAACTGATTCGGGGGCAACCGTGAAAAACTTGATTTCTGAAAACCGTTAAAGTTTAAACTGATACATAAAAACGGTCATATTGTCTTATCCGACTAACGTCGGAGCAAAGTCTGATAAAAAGAGTACTTAGAAATTTAGCGGAAGTCTAGCGTGGCAAAAACATAAAGGTCTGATAATAAGTACTGAAAAGTTTTAGCATGGTTTAACGTGAAATACAAAGAGCATAAATATCCTGAACAGCCCGCCCGCTCACTCCTCGTCCCCGACCATGCGACATGAAAATCATGAAAGGTGTGGGGCGTGAGCACTAAGGCACTGCGCTCCGCAGAAACTCATG